GAACTGTTTTCACCCTTCGGGAAACTGTGATTAGAAAATGCAAGGGGAAGGTCAAGGCACTACCCCAGAGCTAGCAGGCAGAGGGCCCAGCCCTGTTTGGAATGTCTGGGGAGTCCCTGCGAGAGAGAGTCGTGGGCCAGAGCCCAGCTAGGAAAGGCCAGCCTGTTCCCTTAGTCTCTGTCCCTTGACAGGCTTGGGGTAAGGGAACTGCCTGGGGATTCCCCATCACCCAAGAGCTCTTTGAGTGATCCCTCTTCAGCCCCTCCAATAGGGGGTTTCCCAAAGTGTTCCCAGGGCCCCAGGAAGCTTCTCCTTAGTTGCCTCCAAGCTGCTGTGGTTCATGAGAGAAGTGGCACCAGGTGAGGAGGAAGTGTCACAGGAGCATCTGGATTGGTAGGAGGCAGGAAAAAAGGGAAAGTGACACTGAGAAGCTAACGGGGCTGAAGCTTCCAGAAAGATAATTATCAAATTTCATTAAAGTTAAAGAGACTTCAAAGGCAAGAGAGGAGGGAAGGACAGACTTCGAAGCCAGACTGCCTCAACTGAAGTCCCGGGGCTGCAACTCTCGGGCTGTGTGACCTTGAACAAAGCCCTTGAATTCTCTGCACCTCAGTTTCTCTTCTTCTGTAAAAGGGGGATAATATTATTTTCCACATAAGTTGTTGCAAAGATTAAACATAATGAAAGCCATAAAACCTTTAAAGAGGGACTAGACTGGCACATGGTAGTTGTCAATGAATGTTAGTTATTATAAAGTCAGATAAGGCTATTTGAAAAATTGACTTCTACTAATCTTTCTAATATAAATTGAGTCTACACTTATCTGTTCCCTGAAATGTGTGTGCACACAGATGCGCACACACAGGCACACATGCTCACATTTCCCTTCAGGCCCAGGGTGGGGGTGCCAGAAGCTCTGGTTTGCTGAATACACTTAAGAAATCAATTTGAGGGACTGGGGATTTAGTTCAGTGGCATCAGCCCCTGCCTGGCAAGTGTGAGGTCATGAACTTGGCCCCCAAACCCCCCCCCAAAAAAAGAAAAGAAACCAATTTGGAATTTGCAGTATTTGATAGTAAGAGCCCTGGAGATCGAATCCTGCGGTTTTCAGTGGTAAATCCTTGGGGAGCCTTGAGCAACCCAAGGCCCAGGCTGCACCCAGACCTGTTGTGTCAGAGCCCAGCATAGGGACCTGGTGTGTGAATCCTTGTTTCCGTCTGGTCTTCCTGTTTTAGAGTAAAGCAAGTGTGGCTCAATGGGGGAAATTGAGTCACTGAGGGTTGCTCAGCCGGAATGAAAGTTGGGGCCCCGTTCCCAGTGATCACTGATGGAGCCCACCGCCCTCACCTGTGCCCAGTACCAGTCCCTCAGAGGAAGCAGGCAGCACGGTGGGGTACAGGGCCCCAGTCACACCCTGCTCGGCCTCTTCCTGGCTCTGGGCGTTTCTGACCTTCCTGGCTCAACGCTTCTGACCTCTGAGAAAATGTGTGTCTTGAGGCGAATCCTGTACAACTTTCTCTTAACAGCTGCTGCCACCGGGCTGTGCTCACGTGGTGGGTGAGCGGTAGAGGTCACCGGGTCCTCTCAGTTGGCCTCATCTGCAGAGTGGGGACAGTGACAGCAGCTGGCTCAGTGTTCATCTCAGAGAGCTATGGTGAGGAGCTGGTTGGGCCTAAAGGCACTCCGTGGGTACCAGAGGGGGTCCACCCCTCCCCACTGTGGTAGACACTAAATTTCTTTCCAAACCTCCTCTCCTCCTGGCCCTCAGTGAAGCTGGGGAAGTTAGGAGATGTGACAGCTGTCCCTGTGGATAAATGCTGCTCCCATGGCCACCTCTGCCAGATGTCACCCAGCTGTGTGAGCCCTGTGCTGCTCACCATTACCCAGTGTGGGTCCTGGTGGACTGAGCCAGAGCAGGCAGGGCCTGGGGACTGGAGCCTCGGAGATCTGAGGCCCCCCTGCTCAGCCACTTCCTCCCACAAGGGAAGTCAAACCCTTTCTCTTGTGAGCTCTGCAGGGCAGCCGCGCGGCCCCTGGGCAGGCAGGCGGTTTCTCTCTCGGGACCCTGGCAGGAAGCTGCCGGCCTTCCAGAGGTGGAGCCAGCCGGCTGGTGGCTGGCGGCTGCTCGCTGCTCTGCAGGCCCGCAGAGCTCCGGGATCGCCCGCAGGCAGGCGGGTGCGCGGCGGAGGCTGCGGGGCTCCGGAGCGGCCGGGGAGAAGGCCGCTGTCACTTCCCGAAAGCCGGCCGCCTCTGGGGGAGAAGGTCAGAAGCTGCGCCGCCTCTCCCTGCGACCGGGGTTTGCCCAGGGCTCTCCGGAGCGCCGCGATTACAGTAAATGTTCTCACCAGTGGAAACTCTCAGAAGGGGCGAGGAAACGGCGCAAGCTCCTGGCCCCCGTTCTTGCCTGAGCAACGCCCCCAAGGCGCACCTCCTGGCTCGCCTTACCTTTCGGTAAAGGGCGGGGGAGGGGCAGGAAGCCGCTACGCGGTAAAATAAGCGGCTCGGACTGCAGAGCCCCCCCCGCCCCCCCACACCCCGTCTAGAGCTGGGGTTTCCTTCGCAGTGACCTGGACACCTCGCTAGCTCAGAGCCACGCCCCGGAGACAGCTGGCTGAGGCCGAGCATGCTTGGATCTGTCCTGCAGAAGGGATGGAAGCTGGCTCCATGGTCATGGCCAGGCCCACTGCACCTCCAACACTGAAAACAGAAACCCCTTGAGGTTCCTGAGTTCTGAAGAACTGCCATGTAACCGGCAAGTCCCATCCGGCTGTCTCATCAGCCTGCTGCTCATGATCCTGATGGATTATTTAGAGCAGATTTAAATGTCAGGTTATTTTACAGCTGCCCACCATATTTTTGAATCAGGTGATTCTGCAGCTGCCCACCATATTTTTGAATCAACTTCTTCATGGAATCAGTTGATGTTATCAGGCAGCCAGGCAGGCAGTCAACAAACATTTGCAGTTCATATGATGTGTCAGGCATTTCAATAGGCACTTAATAAGTAGCTGAATAATTAAAATAAATTTAATGACCTACTTAACCAGAGTTTTTCAAACTCGTGTGGTCGTGAGTGGCCAGAACCACTTACTATAAAACTCAAGATTTCCAGATGCTGTAACCCCTTCCCCCAAAATCACAAGCCCACGAAATTCCAGTCTCTAGATTTCAGGAAGAGTTATAACTATTTTTTTTTTAAACTAGCCCTCAAATGAATTCTGATGACATGGTCAGTTGTGGAAATGTGGACTTAAATCAACTAGAACTCAAAAAGTAAGACCTGGTCTCCAAATACCATGTTGGTTTTTGAGCCGAAATGCAATTTAACTGCCTTGTCAATGCTGTTTCTCTTCCCCTGATGGGCACCAGTGTGTGGCCACGTAGGTCTAAGCCCTAAAACCACACTGGAAATGCAACTCCCTGGGCTTTCTGAAGGTGGGATTGTTTTCCAGGAACCCCTGATTACCCAAGCCAGACCGCTGATTAACAAAGGATGCGATCTGCAGGATCGCTCCTTCTCAGTGTTTCTGATGGACACAGATCTGAAGTTTCTCCTGCGCAACAAGAGAAAAGTTTCTCTGCAGAAAAAGGGGCTCTGTGTTTCTGCGCAGGCTTTGGACACACTGGGAATGCAGGAGCCTCTCCCCCAACCTTTCCTTTCTGCAGTTTTGGTTACCTGTCATCAATCGTGGTCTGTAAACATTAAATGAAAAATTCTAGCAATAAACCATGCCTAAGTTTTAAATAATTTCAGTACAGCATAATTGTACTATTTTACTAGGAATTATCAGTAATCTATTACAGTGTCTAGTTTATAAATTAAGTTTTATCATAGGAAAAGTGTGGTATATCTTGGGTACCATATGTAGTACTAATGGCTAACAAACATTGTATGTATCACATTCCAGGAACATTTTGAGCACATCCCCAAGGGTGATGGTGTGAGGTCTCCATGTAGAGTCCACCCTTGGGTGGGCAAAGGAAATGGAATAGGACATCGTGGCTGCCTTTGAACCTTTAATGTCTATAAAGATCCCAAGTACTCTAGAGTCTGGGGGAAGCAGACCATTAATCACGGACTCTGTGTTAATCTGTGAGGCTAACTGCAGACCCCAGAAGCGCTTGGAGGACTCATGGTGTTCCAGAGTGGAAAGAAATTAAATTGGTATAAAGTGATCTCACAAACTATTTTTCTCAGGCACTGACCTGCCACCCTGTTTTCTTTGGTACACACTTGCCACTCTGAGCATCAGACACACTTGTACACATGTGTATAGAAAAGAGCACATTCACACATATGTCTTAGCACGGTTGCATATGGTTTGTCCCCACTAGAACTCGTGTGGAGTTTTGTCCCCAGTGTAGCAACAATGTTGAGAGGTGGTGGTGCCTTCTGGAGGTGATTAGGTCCTTACAACGGATTCATGCCTTTCTCACGGGACCACGAGTGTTACCACGAGGATGGTCTCTTTATAATTAAAGAGAGATTAGCATTTCCCCTCCCTCTTACACACAGACCTCTTCCCCACTCCCCATCTTGCCTTTTTTTTCTCTTTTTCACCAAGCATAGAGAAGCACGTGGCCTTCACTCGAAGCCACAAAGATGCTGGTGCCATGTCCTTGGACCTCCAGCACTGCAAGTTTAATAAACCTGCTTTCTATATACGGTGTTACCTAGCCTCTGGTATCTTGTGACAGCAACAGAAACATGGACTAATGTAGGTTGAATTATGTGAAACTGTTGCATTTACAGGTCAAAATGGACAACTCTCAGCAGTTTCATATGGTTCCATTTACTCTGGGAATGCACATGCACACACTTATCTGTACTTATGCAGAGGCACTCATGCTTGCTACAGGCACATATGCACACGTACACACAGATTCTCTGATGCCCCTTTTCACGGCTGTGCAAAACAAACCTGGCTTCCCCTTCACGTCTCCCTGCCTGCCTGCCCTTCCCTGACACTGATGACTGATGGCTGTCATCCTTCTTACAGGAGAGCGAGGACCTAGAGAAACAGAACGCAGCCCTGCGCAAGGAGATCAAGCAGCTCACGGAGGAGTTGAAGTACTTCACGTCGGTGCTGAGCAGCCATGAGCCCCTGTGCTCTGTGCTGGCCACCAGCAGCACCCCGTCACCCCCCGAGGTGGTGTACAGTGCCCATGCCTTCCACCAGCCCCACGTCAGCTCCCCGCGCTTCCAGCCCTGAGCTTCCAGTGAGGAGAGCACAGAGCCCCCACCCCTGCCGCTCCTGTGGCCTCAGGAGCGACGCACAGACTGTGGCCAGACTGCCCTATTTCTACTGTAAAGCTTGTCCAGGCAGAGACCTGGACAAGGATTGAACCCATGGAGTGTAGCAGCCAGCGGGACCTGAGGCCCCTGGCAGTGTGGACCCAACCACGGTGTGCTGGACCAAAGCTGCAAACAGAGACATCACACACCAAGCCCAAGTGACCAGTGCAGAGGAAGAAGACCAAGACTGGCTTATTTTTCTAAATAAATGTTTTTAAAACAAATCAGCTTCCCTTTTTCACTCTGTCCCTAGAAACTTTACATTCTTGGGGCTGGGCACTTCTCTTTGTCCTTGATTACTCACTAAAGAGCTCGCAGGTTCTGCTAATACCCCTTCTCTTCCACGGTCTGTTCATGTACGTGGGAAGCTGGGCTCTATTTTTTTCTTTTCTCGAAGCATCTTTGATCATCCCTTTGGGCATCTTCTTGATCTTCCTGCTCAGACCTGCTCGCTGTGATCCATCCTCCTGTCACTCGTGGCTGCATGCTTTCTAGATTGTGAGTGGTTGCTCTCCATGGGACTGAAGGCCCAGGACAAATGCCATCTGGACAGCTGGAAGCCAGGCAGCCCGGCTATCTCCCACTCAGCACAGCTCCCAGCCAACTGGGCCAGGTGACTGAGTGGCACAAAGCCAGTGCCTCACACCCACCCACAGTTGCAGGTAGCTTAGAGGCACAGATGCCTTGCAGAAGATGCCACCCCCTTAGTGAGCAGTGATAATAAGCATGTGACAGCCTATCTCTGTGGGGCTCAGCAGGCTGCCACCTGAGCATCTCGGGTGGTTCAGGTCACTCAAGCTTGGCTCCCATTTGTCTCCATGTATTCCATGTTCCCTGGCTCTGATGTACCCCTGATTCTCAGAGGTCCCTGGGTCATGAGCCTGTGAACCTACCCCATAGCCCCACCCACAATGCTGTCTGAGAACCATACTCCTGGCTGCATGGGACCTGGCCACCTAAATGGCCTTTGCAGAGCCAGCTGGGGACCAAAGCGGCAGGGATCACTATGGCAGGCTTCTGGTCCAGCTTCTTCAGGGGCCACTTCAGTCCCACCCCTTAAAGCAGCACAGCCTCAAGTTGCTGGCCCGCAGCCCTGGCCACTCTGAGGCCAGGTCTCAGCTCTGCTCCCTCCAGACCAAGTCTCTCCTATTCTCTGGGATGATGCCAGCATTGGGCTATTGTAACTATTCAGTTCCAAAGCTCTGAAAAACCTGCTCCCGCTGGTGAGCACCTGCCATCTGGGTGTGCTGCATAGAGAAGCATACAACTCATAGGCCCTGGGAAGCACATGGTAACAACTGGGCTCCCATCCATGCAGCTATGGCCTGTGAGTATTCAGTGTGGGGGAAATAAGCTGAGTCCAATAATTCAGAGCCCAGGGAGACAGCCCATAAGACCTTCCTTGGGCACTAGCTTTTCTTCCAATGCACTCTGAACCTTAGTCTCCCAACAGAGATGTGAGTGAGGCTCTTCTTCCCAGATAGCATCGGTCGGTGCAGGGCAAGGGCTGAAGAGGATTTTGCATCAGTTTCCTTTAGGCCCTGTCTTTTCAGTTGCTAGATCTGCCCAGCTCTTTCCCGCTCCTCTACTAACAGACCGTGGAGAAACCAGCTGCTCCTGCTGCTGCAGCTGCTGTGTGGAATTCACAGTACCGAGACACAGAACTTTAGATCCAGCTTCCTTTGCAGCTAAGTCTGCCAGAGCCTGGCCTCTCGTGGGCAGCTTCCTTCCAGTCAGAGATTTTTCTCCCCACCCCTGCTATAGCACTGTGATTTTCCCCCAGAAACCCCCTGCAGAAGGCACATGACCTCTGCCGGGCATCCTCTGTGCGGCACTCAGGGCCAGAGAACAAATGCCGCATTCACGTGCATCGTTCCCATCTCTTGACAAGGACTGCGCTTCCCCTTTCATTCTCCACTTTCTAATGACCCCAAGAAGTTCCACTTCTCCTTTCTGATCAGCCTGGTAGAGGTAGCAGGCAAACACTGGGGCAAAGGCCAGTGCTGGCCTCACCTCCACCTAGGGAAATCATAGAGGCAGCCATGAGCAGGGATTAGAACTTCCAGAGTTTGACCCCGTGTCCTACTAAGGCCAGGAATGCTCTCTGGGCTGCTGGGTCACTTGACCCTCACTTGGTTCCCTCTAGGACAGGCAGGCATGCATTAAATTCCCTGGACACAGGACCACTGGGAGTCGTAGAGAGCCTGACAAACTGTGGCATCCTTCAGTTCTCTTCCATGGTGCCACGTGGGAATTCAGGCACTGTGGTTGTCGTGTCATGTCGTGTCGTGTTGTGTCGTGTGGTCAAGAAAAGCTAAAATCAGAATTTTTGCATGAAACCTCCCCACCTCCTCACCCGCTTTTTCGTGGGCTAGGAGTTGAATCCAGGGCCTCATGCACACTAGGCAAGCAGTCTCCCACTGGGTCACACCGCTAGCCCTGAAATTGCCCTATTTTAAAAATAGCCTGCAGACCAACAAAATATGTTAGTGGGTCAGGTCAGCCCCTAACATTTGCAGGGCTTGAGGTGAGAGCAGAAATAAAGGCCACATACGGTGCATCTAGATATTACAGGTTATAGGTCAGGTAGGGAAACCTGGTGAATGAAGCTGCCAAGAGCTGTGGAAAGGAAGGTTCATAAAAACATTGTGATAGGTGCTCATCTCCCTTATTCACCAGATGTGGCCCTGTGTCACTTCTGGATCTTCTCCAAGGTAAGAAATGACCACAAAAGATAAGTGTTTTGAATGGATTCAGAATACCGAGGCAGCCACTAAAGACCCTCATGAAAGAGGACTTCCAGGATTGCTTCAGAAAGTACAAGAACAATGAGATAAATGTGTTCATAAATGTGTGATAGTTTATTACTGTCATTTCTAAAATTTAAACTGCATTTTAATACCATCTCATGCATATCAGCAGTGAAGTCCATTCTTGGGAAGGTCTTTCTGGGGAAGAGGGCTGCAGGCCTGGATGCCAACTCAGGGCTGTTTACTCAGAAGGTTCTGGCATCCTGTGTGCAATATGGCCTGAAAGGGTGCAGACAGTCAGGTGTGGTGGTGCATGCCTGCAGTCTCCCAGCACTCTGGAGGCTGAGGCAGGATCGCAGTGAGTTTGGGGCCAACCTGGGCTACATGGTGATTTCAAAGTCAGCCTGCACCAATGCCCCACTAGAAAGCGCAGGTTATGGAAAGGCCCTGTGTGGCAAGAAATGGCCACAAAATCACATCATCGCCACTCACCTTGACCCGAGGGCTTCCGGGGTGCTCGCTTCCCCACCTGCCGCCTCCTTGGTGACTATGTTTTACTAGCAATGTGATCCGCTGAGTGAGTGTCAAAGCAAATTACGAGAAAGCCAGCTTTTCAGTCCTCAGGCAGAGAAGTGTGGGTGGGGAGAGAAAGGGAGACAGAATCAACTGGAAGATGACGGGGTTACTGTCTGCTGGACCCAAACTTACCAGCAAGGTTTATTAATACCTCCAGCTGAAGCTGCAGCTGTGGCTTTGTGGTGAAGGAGGTGAAACAGCTGGGTGGCCCAGTTCTTCTGGGGACAGACTCTATCCTGCGCCCCGTCTACCTGTCCCACACCGGTTCCAGTGCCCCAGAACTGCTCAGGCTTTTCAAAGAGAGAAAGGGCTGGGGATTTAGCTCAGCGGCATAAGCACCTACCTTACAAGCAGGCGGTTGTGAGTTCGATCCCCAGTACCGATAAAAAAAGTGGGGGGGCTGGTACACCAGGACCCACGTCAAGATGGCAACAGGATTCTTACTCTTTCATCTCTGTCCGCGGGGCTGGCATTGGAAGAGGTGCCTGGGCCTGAGGCCAGGGGGGTTGACCCAGTGGTGGCACTTCAGGCTTGGTAGCTAGTGAGCAGAGGAGAGTCTCGCCACGGGAGTGATACCTTGCTGACCATCTGTGAGTATCTGGGGAGTGGAACTAGGGTGGGCAGGGGACAGAGATGCACCCATCCTAAAGGTCTTGTTTTTAATCACTTAATATGTGATTGATTTCATTTCCTTTTGGGAGGATAAAATAAAAACCTGATCGTGGTTTGAACAATTCATTAGTGGACAGAGATAAAGAACACCCTCTTAGAGAAATTTAGTCAGAACATCTGTCTAGTCAGGTGAACCTCACCACACCCAGCTGAGGGGCCACGTTTAATAAGCTTCTCTGGGGGTGTTGCTACTCGGTAGGTTTGTCTGGCTTCGTCTAAAAGATCCTGTAGACAGACTGCTGATGTCATCATTGCTTCTGATCATTGTCCCCCTAAATTCACTCTTCCTTTTGCCCTGACTTCAGCTTGATAGCAATGTGCCCTGATAAAAAAATATTACATTTCCCCATCTGGCTTGCAGCGAGGGGTGGCCATGTCAGATATAAGCAGAAATTGCTAGGTAGGGGTTATGGGAAGCTGTTTAAAAGATGAAAGTGTCTCGGTAGGCATTTGCCTTCCTCTTTCTGTCTGCAATGCTGGTCCCATCATCTTGGGACCATGACAAAACCAAGAAGCCAGGCATGGTGGTGTAATTCCAGCACTCAGGAGGCCGAGGCAGGAGAATTTGAGTTCAAGGTCAATGTAGGCCAACATGAACTATACAGGGACAAAACAAAGCAAAGCAAACTCACAAACAAATCAACTATATATAGAAACAGTTCCTGGGTCCCTGCTAATACTGCAAAAATGCAGTGACTATACAAGCTACAGGTAGTCTGCCTTGGGATTTCTTTTCACCCAAGCTGACCCTGAACTTTTATCCTCCTACCTCAGCCTCCTGAGTAGCGGGGATTATAGGCATGCACCACCATACTTGGCTCTGAACTTCTTTTAAATTAAAGTGGAAAGAGATCATTTGGTTACATCACTGTGAATCGGGTTTTCTATTGATTACAGTTTAGTCTAGTTGTATCTAATGCTGAAGTCAAAGGGACAAACAACATTCCCACCTCCCTGGTCCTTAACTGGGAGTGAAGCCCCATGCTGCCTCTGTCAGGGCCAGGGGACATTTTCAGCTCTTAGGAATAGAGAGAGCTGCTGCAGACGCCCATGGCAAAGGAGCACCCAGTCTCACGGGTGGGTGGTGCAGAGGCTGAGACTCCCTGCTGCCGGCCGCCGGGACCTTGTCCATCCCTTCTGTCTTGGAGATAAGATCTGTGCTCTGGCCAGGCTGAAACCCCATGACCTTGACCGCAGCTTGCACTTTCCTTTGCTCAGGCCTGTGT